GTCTTCGGCAGCATCATGTCTTCCGTTGTTCACTTTGTTCCAACTGAAATGTCCTGGACCATGATAATGCCAAAGCCACTTGGCATGCACCACCTTTGGCTAACCTCGCCGACCACATTTTATTCGAAAAGTTACGTGTGAGAGACGATCCACTATGTCATATGGGCCTTCCCATGGAGATGACAACTTAGGAGACTTCCCTTTGGTCTTCCTAGGATTATACAACCACACCTTGACTCCTGGTACAAAGCTGACTTCAGTAGATCTCTTATCGTAACATAGCTTCGTGGAATCAGCAGAAGTTCTCAAGCTTCAACGCACTTGATGGTGAATATCATCCATCCTTTCAGAAAACACTTTCACGAACTCTAACAAATTTTCAGGCAACTCTTCATGAGGTGGGCGTCCTGTTATCAGGTCTACTGGCAACCGAAGTTTTCGACCAAACATCACCTTTGCTGGTGTGTATCCAGTGGTTTCATGCTCTGCTGTTCTATAGGCCACCAACAGTGGAGGAAGTAAGACATCCTAGTCATCTTGGCAGCTCTTACAAAACTTTGCCAATTCCTATCCCAGTGTCCACTTGTACTTTTCTACCATCCCATCAGACTGTGGGTGAAGTGGCATTTTCCTAGTCTTTCGTATGCCAAATAACTTGCAGCATTCATGGAACCCAGCTGATTCAGATTTACGGCTCTGATCTGAATGCAGTTTGTATGACATACCAAACCTGAAGAAGAAATCACTAACAGCTGAAGCCACAGTTGTAGCTTCCTGATTTGGTACTGCATATGCCTCAGGTCACTTGGTGAAATAATCCATCACCGCACAAATGTACCTGTTTCCAGCACGATTTTGGGGCAAAGGACTACCAATGTCAATGGCCACTCTTTCCTTGGTGTGCCAACTTGATATAACTCCATTGGAGCACGTCCCTTATGCTTGGGTCCACTTTTAGCACAACATGTACTGCATGTCCTTCACCATTCTTCTACATCTTGCCTCATACCTATTCAGTAAAATCTCTGTCGTAGGTGACTCAATGTCTTCTTAACTCCGAGATGTCCTCCTGTTAAACTGTCATGGGACTTCTCGTAACTTTCTTGGTATAACTGTTTGCCAGGTCATCACTTTCCCATCTGCAGTTTCCCATCTCTGGACAAGAATATGATCTTCTAGCTTCAACTGGTCCCATTGTGCCCAATATTTGTTTGTTACAGGGCTTAAGCTAGACACCTTCTCTCAAGCAGGGTGCAAAACACTTGCTTGTAAAAAATCAGTTATTGGCTTCAAATTTTGGTTTTTCTCCTGCTCTGCTTTAATATCTATACCTGGTTCAACTTCACCATCATCGACTCCTTCAGTCACTTTGACTTCAGCCTGATGGCACCTGGTTAGTTCAACCTCTCTTTTAACACTTACCGGAATTTGGCCTTTGTTGTTCCCGAACGTCATTTTATCAAAATTAACTACACACTTCCTCGGTGGTAAGTAGTCTAACCCAAGTATGCATGGGTCGTCAATGTCAGCCAAGTATACTTTGTGTCTGTAATCTATGCCTATGAGCTCATTAGTTACCCACACCGGTCCCCACAACCTTGCATAATGTCCTGTCACACCACAGAGCTTCTGTATG